CAGTTTAAGATTTGCAGCTAAATTAATTTGTTTCTATATTATGGAACTACTATCAGGCACTTCCCATCATCTTATATCAGTAATAAAAAATTATAAATACAAATTTGGTATTTGGTGACTTGACTTTTATTTCTGTCAGGCTGAAGTGAAAAAACTTGGAAAGAGACTGATTCTCTTGGCGTTTAAAATAACAACACAAAACAGCATAAGAAAACCGCATTTATTTTTTTTATTTTACAATTTTGTAAACAACAGCGGCTGATTAAACTAAATGTCTCAACCTTGTATAATTTTACGACTTTTTATTTAAGCAAGAAATGATCCGAAAGGCCTGGGAAATGATCAGATCCGCTTATGTGGCTGCAATGCGCGGCGCGCTCCCGACACAGGTGGAACAGATTTTCACATGGGAACAGAATTTCGCACAACACCGGAAAAGGATCTCTGTTGAAGCAAAAACATAAAAAATAAAGTCGAGTAATGCCCATGCTTCTGTGAGTTGTTTAGCGGATAGCTGAGCATGAATCAATAATTTTATTTGATACAATTTCGGCCGGAGATAGCACAAAATGTACGGAGCTAGCCAGAATGACCTCCGTTTAAAACAACTTCTGGTGTAATGACGGTCCTTCCTGTTTCACTGAAACACCTTCCGTTTCAACTGAAACACCTTCCGTTTCAACTGAAATCCGCTAATAGCTTTTCAGTAGTGTGTATGAGAGCTTTCTAGTAGCGTGTATGAGAGCGTTCTAATAGTGTTTATGAGAGCGTTCTAGTAGTGTGTATGAGAGCTTTCTAATAGTGTATATGAGAGCGTTCTAATAGTGTATATGAGAGCGTTCTAATAGTGTTTATGAGAGCGTTCTAATAGTGTTTATGAGAGCGTTCTAATAGTCTTTATGAGAGCGTTCTAATAGTGTTTATGAGAGCATTCTAGTAGTGTATATGAGAGCGTTCTAATAGTGTATATGAGAGCGTTCTAATAGTCTTTATGAGAGCGTTCTAATAGTGTTTATGAGAGCATTCTAGTAGTGTATATGAGAGCTTTCTAATAGTGTATATGAGAGCGCTCTAATAGTTTTTATGAGAGCTTTCTAATAGTGTATATGAGAGCTTTCTAATAGTGTATGTGAGAGCGTTCTAGTAGTGTATATGAGAGCTTTTTAATAGTGTATATGAAAGCTTTCTAGTAGTGTGTATGAAAGGTAAAGCTTTTCACCATTTTATATATGAACAGTTCTCACTACTTTGTATGAGAGCTTTTGAGTAGATTATATAAGAGGTAAATGTTTTCACTAGTTTATGTAAGAGCTTTTTACTAGTGTTTGTGTGAGGTTTTCAGTATATTATATGGAAGAGTGTAATTTAATATGTGTATATGCAAGTTAATTCTGATTTATGTCCCTGGGGGCACCTCATAGCCATGGGTGATGTCTTACATTCTAGTGTGAGCCTCAGCCTAGTGACGATTGCGATCAAATGGAAGCTTATAATCCCGTTTTTCAGGACTCCAAACAGAACTGGTAAAATGGCTGCACACCATACTTATAACTTATGGTCTGGTACTAAACTAAGTGTGTTTTGGGATAAGATATTTTAAGCTCTTAAGAGGATTTTCAAAAGATGTTTTTGTAAACTTGGAGACATGTTTTATTGCATGTTGCATATCCAAGTAAATGTGTTTCAGTTTTAAATCTGCAGGTGTCCCTACTTTTGAGTCTGTGCTCTAGTATATAGCATTTAAACAGAGGAAAGCCTCTGGACAGGACGGGATTCCTTTTTCTTCCTTTGACACATTCTTCTTCTTTGACTATTTGAGCTGATTTAACAAGTACACTTCTCCACTCTGCGATCAATAAAGTCAATCAATCAATCAATGTCTAGGTTTGTGCTGTGTTATGTCCTAATCCTCTCTGATCATTGATATATTTTTTACCACTGTGTGTTATCCATATTTTAGTTGTTTTGTGTGTTCAGTTGATCCACAGTCTTTTGGGGTATTAAATTGATCCAAAACCATTTTTGTTTTTCATTAAAATGTTTAACAGATGATTAAGCATATTTGGGTATCCTAACCTATTTTCTTTCCTTAGTGCAAGTTGTAGCCACCATTTCTTTCATTATGTTTTTTGTTTGTCAAACTTTTCTATTACTGGCAACACTGTAATTTTAGTCAAGGAGGCCTAAAAAAGAAAATCTAATGGACAGAGTTTGTCTGTTTAGACAAGAGATGGAAACTTTTGGCTGTTATTTTTGCACATTGCATAGAGAACCATGAAATGGGCAAAGGTTTGCAAGAAAAAGGAAGCTTCATTCTACAGTATATAAAAAAGAAAAAAAGAAGTTTGTCTGTGACTGAGGTTGGTTTGTAATCTCCGCCTTTTTCTGTATGTATAAAACGGCATAATAGCTGTGAGGAGACACATTTTTTCCATTGTACTTATTCAGCATTTTTGTAAGTTTTCCTTTACAGTTTATATTTTTTGGGGATCAACATCTGAATAATATTCTGGTTTTCACAGCCTAGAAAATCAAGAGAAAAAAAAATAAATAAATAAAGCTAGCTACTTTTTTTTTTAACAAGCATTCACCCAGAGGTTCTTCAAACATACACAGGTATGGTTATTTTTTGCTCTCTTAAATGCCAGAATATGAAACATGCATTTTGAAACCATAAACTAATCCTAACTTATCTCTATACCCATTTGATTTTCATTCCCACGTTATTGTTTAAACCATGAGATGAAGGATGCTGTTTGATCATTTTTTTCTGGTTATAACCGCTCCTTTAATACTTATATATATATGTCCATACCTACATGTTCTGAACATGTAGGTATGATGCTACTAGTGAGTTACAGATGCATTATCCTCTTATCCCTCCGCTTTAAAAAAGAAATCCCAGAATTGTAGCAGTGTAAGCCATCGTTACAGAACAATTATAAACAGCAGATTTGTAGATTTTAATTTTATTTTCACATCCCCTTTCATTAAACCATTGATCTCCATCGGCAAAGGTTCCTCTGTTTAGTTTTAATTCAACGAAGTCTATTAATATAGCGTCAATTCAGTTTTAAATTCTGTCCCAGGACTTCAGCAGTTTAACTGAATCATGCATGTTTTTTTGTAACTATTTATGCTGGTCTTTTTAGACCATACAAAAAATGGTTACAAAACATAAACGAGTTTATTCAACATTTGCAAGAGGTTTCAAATGCTGCAGCGATTTTTTGATTCAAAAGTTTTTTGTAAGAATCCACTTCAAGTTATTTATGTGTCTGTAGTTTCTAAATCCTGAACCCCATATGTTTTTGAAGATATTCAACAATATATCTCAGCCAGAGCAATGCAGTTTTATAATTCACTTATTCCTACATCTTCTGTGAAAGTTTAAACCACTCATCTTTGTTGGTGAAAGGACCTATTGTAATGAAAAGCCTCCATATGCATTTTGAAGCTGTAGGGAAGATCAGTATTGGTTGTTACATTCATCATATCTGAGCCATCACAGGACACAGTAAATTGATGTTTGGACTGAAATACACTGAAATCTCTGAAGGGGATCTGTTTCAGTAAACCAATAATTATGTACAACCACAGACTAATTGTCAGAACTCAGAACAGAAAGATCCAGTATTCAAAGCGGACAATTAGGTTGAATGAGTGACATAGGCGTCTAAGGCAGGAACCTTTGCGAGTGGAGACAGCAGGGTAGTGACCATGTCTTTCTGCAGGACCATGATCATAAACAAATGAGTCATTAACCTGATCTTATAGTTCAATCTGAGTCCAGAGGTAGAGGATTGTTCTGCTGTTCTGGTTGCCAACACGCCGCATGGTTGCCGCACAGCATGTCCCAGACGCAGGTGTATTGGAGGTCAGAGGACAGGCAGGAGATCAGAACCAAGCAGAGCGATGTAGGCAGAATAATCCAGAAGGTGAAGCCAAAGCTGGTTGGTTGTCAGAACTAGGAGGTCAGATTTTCAGTGAGGCACTGAAGGAGACTCCAAGAAGGAGTCAGGTCACAGTTCCAGGTTCCGTACAAAAGCCAATAATCTGCACAGTACTATTTTACGTACCTCATGAGGCATTAAAAGTATTCATTTAAGGTGATTTGTAAGCTTCTACAAATTTAGAAGTGTTTAAAATAAAGTTTACTTTAAATTTCAACTGTAGGTGAGTTTGAATGTCTGGAAGTGGATTGGATCTGTGTTATAGATTTTGCATGGTTGTGCTTGGAGTCTCCATTGTTGAAATAAACTACAGCTGCAGAGCTTTCATTGTCTCCTACCTCAGCTGGTACATCAGGTGACTAGATGTGTTTTAATCAACTTTGTTTTTTTGCACATTTTGAAGTAATGCATTAGAGCAGCATGAAGAAACCGCAAAATTTGAATCAATTCAATATATAAAATCTCCATTAGACATACTATATAGGTATTTTTGACATTTTCAAAAAAGTGTAAATGCGCTACAAAAGAAGATGGAAACATAGTTTATATTTAGTAAAAATTTATTTAGGATGATTGAGCTATTTCCACTGCCGACGGCATCCTAAATACAGCATTAGAATCACACATCTCTCTCTGGATGTTCTGGGAGGGCATGAACCATCACTAATACTAGCTACTACATTAAATAGTATATTATAACACATTCTTCAAAACCATCACTGACATGTGGTGCCCACCAGGTTACTCAATTTACCTCCTCCTTACTACAGCCAAGTAAAATGTCAATGTATGACGAAATTATGCTTTGCATCGCCTCCTTGAATCGCTCCTATTAATGCAAACATTTTTTATTCACTTTTTTTTACTTTTTAGAAATGTTCTCATCACCGAATGACATTTTGAAAAAAAAAAAAGGCAACTGGCTCATAGTTAAATGCACCGGATGAAAATAGCTAGGATTTTATTTCAAACCATGACTAATGCAGTGATATCTTAGACAGCTTTCAACCAAATGTTTTTTTCTTTGCTTACTTTTTTTTCCAGAGTTGCGTGCAGAGTCCTAATGGCAACTCTAGCAGCTTGGGGGATACTCTTCCTAATATTTGCATCCTGTGTTGGGACTAAAACCCAGCTGCCTGAAGAGGTGAGGGGTGGTTTGTTTTAGGAATAAGTGAAAAACATTCATAGTACTAATCTAAATATTTTATTTGCTTTCTAATAAGGTTGTTGTTGAATCTCAGGTGGATTGCCCATTCAAACTGGACATGGCTCTAAACTCTGTTGATGACATGTACGATGGCTGTGAAACAGAGATGCAGAACCGTACACTGGAAAAGTATTTACAAGAGGAGCAAAACAACACGAACTTCGAAAAAGCCTGGGAAGCAGCAGAAATATATTACAACAATAGCTTGTGGAACGAATCACAGCTAAGCAAAAACCAAATCAAGGCTCTTCATGCTTACACCCTTAGCAGACCACAATTATATCAAGAATTCAACAAAGCAGTCCGTGAACAAAAGGCTCAGTACCAAACTGATTTTCATTATCACACACTTCACTTCTATCTTACCATGGCCCTGCGCTCCCTCAAATACGGTTCAAAAGAATGTGTCACGAGTTACCGGAGAACACCTTGCAAATTCCAAAAAGATGTTGTTAATAAAAAAATTCGCTTTGGTTTCTTTACCTCTAGTTCAATAGGTGGCTATAGCGACGAAGTGTTTGGTACTGAATCGTGCTTTGAGATCTACACCTGCTTTGGAGCAGACATCTCTCCTTTCTCTAAGTTTGAAAATGAAAAAGAGGTCCTGATCCCTCCCTATGAGGTTTTCAAAGTAACGGAGATAGAGGAAGAATCCACCAAGAAACTTCCATGTAAGGTTGTCTATAAACTGCGAAGCACAAGAAAAACCCGTTCTTATCTAAACTGTGACCTCTTCACACAATGTCTAGTAGGTTAATAATGAAATATCCAGAAAAGTAGTGCTGTGGAAAGTTAGACATACTTTGAGTACTTCACTTTCTATACCATAAAAAGTAATCCTGTACCTATACTGCCATGCTATTTCTGTTAAAACCCCATAGCCTGTCCCACTGAACTGTGCCTTAAACTGAGGCGAGTACGTAGGTCCATAAATGCAGACACTCATAAAAATTATTACTTAAAAGTGTCAGTATAATCAATTCAAATGTGTTGTTTTATTCTATAGTGGTTTTATCAACAGGTTTGTTTTAGATGTTTATATCTATAGACAGGAATTAACTCCTGCAGCAGTCAGTTTTACAGCGAATCTGGAAACAGAAAAAGGCCTAATGATTAAAATAATAGAGGCTGAATGGCAAACAAATAAATACAAATAATTTGTTTGACTTTTTTGTACAACTATTTGCAATGTACTGGAATGCATATATAACTAACACTTAATCTGACTATTTAATTCACATAATTTGAATCTGAAACAAAATGTATCTGCTTCTAACTTGTTTGTGTTGTAAAGTGAAATGGCATTTGTATTTGTTATATTTTTTTACTTACTTATATGTAATTTCTTTTAATCTTGAATATTTCTGGAATATTAAATATGATGTGTTTATGTTTTTAGACTGTAGCTAATAAAGCTTTTCAGGACATCCCAGAAGGAGAAGCTTTGTAACAAGGTTTCTCGGGTGGTCATGGGTCCCCTTACAATAATCATCTGTAGGGAGCATAATAAAAAAAATCAGTGAATAATGCAGATATTAGACCAAAGTTTCTCATTTGATATAAGTTTAAATTAAAACTGCTTCGTTTTTCTTTAAACCACAGTCAATCTAAATAGCACAGTAACTCATCTAATATAGGGAGACGTTGAGTTTTCAGAGTTCCCATCTGATTTGGTGTTGAATACTGAGAGTGATCATCACTTTAGCAGATCATTATCAGATAGTGCAGTTATAAATTTAAAAGAATCTGTTTCACTTTCTCTCTCCTCTGTGTCGCTGAGCAGTGCTGTATGTAGAGTGCAAAAGTTTTGTTTATTCCCCCTCACAGGTTGATGATTTTGTTGATGGGGTTGCTAGCTCTCTGTGTATCGCCTTAGACAACGTAGCCCCTTTAAAAAACTTTAAAAATAGAAAGCTGCATCCCTTGTTTAATACAGAGCTGCACACTCTAAAGCAAAAACTGGAAATAAAACCATGCTCCACAGGCCTACAGAATCCTATCTAGTCTGAAAAAACGGTTTACTGCTGTATAAGAGGACCCTTTGTAAAGCAAGATCAGCATGTTTCATTAATAGAGGAGAATAAGAATAATCCTAGATATCTTTTTAATACAGTTGCAAAACTCCCCCAGAGCCATAGCTCTGTTGAATCGTCCATTCCACCTGCTCTTAGCAGTAATGATTTTGTTGGATTATTTATAAATAAGATTGATTTTATTAGAAATAAGATCATTAGCACTCCACTATCTGTCATTGGTTTGTCTCTGGAGGATGGGGCAGCATTTGAGGGGGTCGTGGAATCTGAACCTGGTTTAGACTGCTTTGATCCAGTGTAACTTTCAGAGTTAGCAAAACTATTGTCTTCATCTAAGCCTTCAACTTGTATGTTAGATCCAGTTCCAACCACATTATTTAAGGAAGTATTCCCCCTTGATCTCCTCCATCATTTTAGATGTGATCTATTCCTGTTACATGTACCAAAGGCTTTTAAGGTTGCTGTAATTAAACCTTTGCTTAAAAAGTCGTCTCTTGGCCAAATGACTTGGTCTAGTATAGAGCCTTATCCAGGGGTAAAAGTGCAGCAATCTGAAACGAGAAACAGAAGATGGCAGTGCATGTGAGACATTTTGAGAAAATTATATAAAAAGATATATATATGAAAATATTATATTTGTCAAGCTACTCAAACTCTTGTTGATTCTCTATCTACAATAAAAAGGTACAAAGGGATTTTGACACAAATCTTAGTGTTTTTATTTGAATTTGATTTGACAAGCCAGACAAAGAAAACTAGAACTGTAAAGCTAGAAGAGCATTTGTAGCTCTGGAGGAAAGATGTATTACTATTAAATGTATTGATTTGTGGAACAAGATTATCAGTGAGATAAAGCAATCCGAAACTTACTCTTTGTTTAAAACAAACCTGACTGGGATAGGCTGATATATAGTTGTCTATTAGCCCTTTGTTTGTTTCCCACGTATTGTTAAACATGGTGCGTTTTTATTTTGTATGGTTGTAATCTGAGTTGAATAAGTAATACTTTATAGAAACTTGGGGCAGGTAATATAAGTTTTTACTTTTTTCAGCTTTCAGTTGCCACCTGAACGGTTTTTGTTATGTTGTTTTCTGTTAATAAATGAATTAAAATAAATAAAAGCATTTGTGAAAATGTGCAGCATGACAATAAGGAATTATTACATTATGACATTATTTGCTGATTTTCTTATATTTGAAAGAAAAAAAGGCCAGTCTTGGCCATTTAACTTCTGGGCTGAAAAGTTTACCCACTCCGTCGGTGGTTACAGGGTAAGGTGGAAGCAGGAGGATAAACCTGGGTTATAGCATATTTTTTGTTAATTAGATCAGTAGGAAAAGTTTTCAAAGTAAAGAAAAATGGTCTGATAGGGCAACCTAACATAATGAAATGATCCAACCTCAAATTATGTGGCCGGAGACACTTTCCCTGCCACTGCCAGACCTTTTACTTCTGTTAATTTCCATTCTGAGGAAGATGAGGGGAAGATTTGCTGTTTAATTTATTACATAACATTTAATTTCAAATATTTTCTTATATATATATCTGTAAATCCTCAGTCATCCAGGTCATGGTAAAACTTGAAAAGCTCAGTTTAGGCAACTGGATATGAAGTTTTTTTTAGAAGACATATCGCCTCTCAACCAAGAAGTTCTAACTGACGATGTTAAGATGAAAAACCAAGACTCATCAGAGGAGGTGGTCTTAGGCATTGGATGAGATGCGAAACGTCTTCCAGAAAACTTCAAATCCAATTGCCTAAACTTGAATTTTCAAATTTGATTAGCATTTAGCATGAGATATGTAGTAGAAGATTCACTGATAAGAATAGATTTCCTATTAAGTCACCAGTAAAAGTAGTCTTAATAATCCAATAGATCTTAGGATGATACAGCTGTTAGAACTGCACACTTGTCAGTGAAATAAATAGTTGGTACTTTTTCAGGGTTTCTCTAGGATTGCAAAAGGAAATAAAAAGCAGTAAATTGAAATCAGCAACAATTAAAGCTGTTCAAACATAAATTGAAATTAATATAATCTCACAAAGTGGTATTCTTTCAATGTAAAAAAAAAAAAACAAACAAACAAAAAAAAAAAACTTTTTTGGGTTGGAATACTGTTTTGAGTTGTAAAAAACTAAGTCTTTAACATAAGGACAAAAATTTAAATCAATACAGAAAACCAAGGTAGTTGTAATCTTGAGGGAGTTGTCAGTTCTAATAACTTTAAGTTGAAGGATATTTCAGTAGGTAAAAGTTCTTACTTTTGTTGTGAAATGCAAACAAAACAACTTTTGGAAGTGGCTTTAGAGTTAGACTCTCACTATTGTTCGTAATGCACAATTGGATCTTGTGGTTTCTGTTTTGCAGGTGTTTGAACAGTAGAGTTTGAAATGGAGCCTGTTGAGTATCAAGCAGTGATCCGATATTTTTATTTGTAAGCATGCGCACTACAGGAGACTTTTTATGAAATGAACGTATGGTGATGATACCTAAAAACAACTGCAGCAAGCTACAAACTAGACCACTCATATGGGACTAGGTCCCCAGTAAAGTGATGATGCACATATACATATATATATATATATATATATATATATATATATATATATATATATATATATATATATATATATATATATATATATATATATATATATATATATATATATATATATATATATAAAGTCCATGAAGCATTTAATACATGTCTATGCAGGCTACAAACTGCACGGAAGTAGCTCTGCACTGTACCTCTGAATTTAAAAGGAAAAAAAAACTTAAGACATTATTGATGGTGAAGTCTGATTTTGTAGGTAGCGTTACTTCCAACCATGGTGAGAGCTGATAATGATTCTGGTACTTTGTAAAGTACATTTGTTCTTTAAAACTGAGGAAAGCTTGGGTCAACGTGACAATCAGTCCAGAATAAGAGAGCTGATAATCTAAACAGATGAGGGAATGAGTCAGAAATGTTGCATGATCCTGAAATTAAAATAACATAACCTTTTTAAATCCTACCATTGGTTAGATCCTTAACTTTATTTCAAATGCATACATGACTATGCAGTTAACTATTTCTTCATTTTTGTATAGAAATACGTGTTTTCCTTCCACTAAACATAAAGTACATAACCCAAAAAGGGGAAGCCAAAACCTTTGTCATCCTTAGTCATCTATGTATTTGTCATTTCATGCTGGTTGTGACCATCTATCACACCCAACTCTTTCTGTGAAAACCAAACAGTTGAAACTAAAATGGTTGGCAGTCCTTAAAGGAACCAATAAACACATCCACCCATCGGGTGCCTAGCTCCAGCTGTCTACAGGCGAGATACACCCTAGATATGTCACAGCCCATAGCAGGGCAACACAGAGACAAACAGGACAAACAACGATTCACACACATTGTTAGACAAATTTGTTGCAAATTTGAAGAAAATGTCATATTAAAAAAATAACAAGCATCCATAAGTGTGAAACATGATTCTAACTTCTCTTTTCTTGTATTTGTGTTTTTTTCTGAGAATCTAAAATTAAGGAAGCATAGAACCAACAAGGGTGTGAGTGCAGGATCTTTTTATGTTTTGAAAAATGTATTCACAAAGATATGCCTGTAACTACACCGTCATAAAACAGTCATTCCACCTTAATCCTGCACATTTACACTGATACATACCAGCACGTAACAGGATGTTACATTGTAATTCATCTTTAATGAACGAAAAAAAAGTAATTATACATTTTCATTTCTGTAAACAATCAAGAAGTTATTTTCACTCTCTCCTTTCCATATTTTCTACTGCTTTAGAGGAAAGGGAAACATGGACATTTTAAGGTTTGTCCCAGGATCCTCTTATCGACATCTTATGGAAATGACTTTACCAAATATGACAAATTAGTGAATATAAACATCACAAAGAGGAAGAGGAAAATAAACTGTCCTTCTTAGATGGCCCTTGTAAATTAAAAAATACCACATAAAAACTGAATAGCATCCTCTATCAATAAAAAATTCAGTCATTCCTATTTGATGCATATATATACACTATATTGCCAAAAGTATTTGCTCACCTGCCTTGACTCACATATGAGCTTAAGTGACATCCCGTTCCTAATCCATAGGGTTCAATATGACGTCGGTCCACCCTTTGCAGCTAGAACAGCTTCAACTCTTCTGGGAAGGCTGTCCACAAGGTTTAGGAGTGTGTTTATGGGAATTTTTGACCATTCTTCCAGAAGCGCATTTGTGAGGTCGCACACTGATGTTGGACGAGAAGGCCTGGCTCTCAGTCTCCGCTCTAATTCATCCCAAAGGTGTTCTATCGGGTTGAGGTCAGGACTCTGTGCAGGCCAGTCAAGTTCATCCACACCAGACTCTGTCATCCATGTCTTTATGGACCTTGCTTTGTGCACTGGTGCACAGTCATGTTGGAAGAGGAAGGGGCCAGCTCCAAACTGTTCCCACAAAGTTGGGAGCATGGAATTGTCCAAAATGTCTTGGTATGCTGAAGCATTCAGAGTTCCTTTCACTGGAACTAAGGGGCCAAGCCCAGCTCCTGAAAAACAACCCCACACCATAATCCCCCCTCCACCAAACTTTACACTTGGCACAATGCAGTCAGACAAGTACCGTTCTCCTGGCAACCGCCAAACCCAGACCCGTCCATCAGATTGCCAGATGGAGAAGCGCGATTCGTCACTC